GCGAGTGCCGAAAGCCCGTTTCGGGCCGGTGGCGACAGCGACGGAATTAAATTCAGTCGCTATTTCGGTCACTAAATTATAAAATTTGATCTTTTTTAGCGACGAAATTCAATTCGGTCGCTAAATATTAGTTAAAATTTGCGACGGAATTAAATTCGGCCGCTAAATAGTAGTTAAATTTAGCGACAGAATTGAATTCGGTCGCTAAATAATAGTTAAATTTAGTGACGAAATTGAATTCAGTCGCTAAATTATAAATTTTGATTTTTTTAGTGATGGAATTTAATTCGGTCGCTAAATATTAGTTAAAATTAGCGACGGAAGTGAATTCGGTCGCTAAATAGTAGTTAAATTTAGCGACAGAATTGAATTCGGTCGCTAAATAATAGTTAAATTTAGTGACGAAATTGAATTCAGTCGCTAAATTATAAATTTTGATTTTTTTAGTGATGGAATTTAATTCGGTCGCTAAATATTAGTTAAAATTAGCGACGGAAGTGAATTCGGTCGCTAAATAGTAGTTAAATTTAGCGAATTCAGTCGCTAAATATTAGTTAAATTTAGTGACCGCATTGAATTCGGTCTCTAAATCATAAATTTTGATTTTTTTAGCGACGGAATTAAATTCGGTCGCTAAATATTAGTTAAAATTAGTGACGGAATTGAATTCGGTCTCTAAATCAGAAATTTTGATTTTTTTAGCGGCAGAATTAAATTCGATCGCTAAATATTAGTTACAATTAGCGATGTAATTCTATTCGGTCGCTAAATATTAGTTAAAATTAACAACAAAATTCTATTCGCTCGCTAAATATTAGGTAAAATTAGCGACGAAATTATATTCGGTCACTAAGTAAAACTTAAAAAAATCTATAAATTGCTTAAAAGTGAGGATAATATTGTTGTTGAGTATCAATCCCATTTTTTTTTTTTTTTGTAAGAGCAAGATATTAATTTATAATAAAAAAATATTTATATACACTCCTACATAATTAATACCAATAATTATTTATGTCAAAAAATATTTAGAGTTTTTTTTTACGATTAGATTTTTAGGTAGTTTTTTTAATTAGAGTATATGAATTTTAAAATTTCTTATTTATTTTGATCCATATTTATAAGGTTTATAGTCATGTACTTTCAATTTAAAACCTTTTACATTATCAACTTTTTTTAATAATCATAGTATTGTACGAAATATTCACTATCTATCGTTAGAAATAACGACTAATCTAAAGTGAAAACAATGAGTACACAATGTGTTAAGTGAATATTCTCTTCTCAATATAATCTATTACATATTTAAAGCCAAAAGTCAAACATAAATGTATATTACGAAGATGAAATCTCAATTTTAATTGTTAAACAACAACATCATCACGCATAATATTGTAATAAGTTTTTTCCCATGCATAATTATGGACAATTCTTCTCACTTTTTATGGAATAATTCGTACTATTCAATAACAAAACATTGTCCAATTTGTTTTAATTTAAAAGAAAGATTATAAAAAGGTTCTTTCAAAAAAATTAAAAATTAATTATTTTTAAATAAATAGTTCAGATGAACTTACTAAAAGAATTAATTAAAAAAAATAAAGTTAAAAAACAGACACGTTACTAAGCAAGGCCCTAATAGATTACAGAAAAGCTTATTGATCACACAAAAGACTTCAGTAAATCTCTCTAGAGAGTCTACCCTGCCCAGAAGAGTTGTAATTCAATTTAAATTTCTTGTGAAGATGGCTGCAATTTTGGAAATTACTTCTATCTTCATTTGTCAATCTCTATTTAATAAATCAGAAGATGAAAACAAGCAATCATAGTTCGTTATGCTAAAATAAAGTGGCAGAGTGAAAAATGAAAAATTTTCATTTTCTTCTGGTGTTCATTTATAATTAATCTAACATTACAATCATTACACATTTATAGTTATTGAAGTTTACAAATTACAATCATTCCACTGGTAAGGTAATTTCATAGAGTTGGAAGTTCTCAAAAGGTTGAACCTTTTTGTTAAAATTATTTTTTTAATTAACTGCATGATTGAGCCATTGACTAAAAACTTGACAAAAATCTTCATATGTATGATGAGAAAGGTTCACCACTTGAAAACTACACACACCAATAAAATTACCCTAGAATAGGATATCGACTTCTCAGTATTTATTCAAATTCAGAATTATTTTCAGAATATTTGCTAGAATACAAAAGTAGAAGTTTCCAATAAGTTGTTTAGCCACCACTTATTGGAGGTATTATGGCCAATTCATCCGTGTCTTTAACAATGGCTGACTCAGTTGTATACTCCTCATTCAGAGCCAAAACCATGCACCTTCTTATTTCTTCCAAACCTGGAAACTTGATAAAAAGCTTTTTCAAACAATCATGTGTAGTACTTCCGGATGACACCTCCAATGGCATCTCACTCAGGCCAGTGAGATCACGGGCTCTAGCGAAAAAAAATACTTTTATCTTCACCAGAGAACTTTCTTTCTTGTTTTGAGTGTCATCTCCATTCAAAATCTCAATATCTCCTTCCATCATATCCCTTTTCTGCATAAAATAAGTAGTTAGATACAAACTACATATTGTACACTAAACATGTTTCTACAAACTGCAGAAAATTCAATCTGACAACATAAATATATGTTTGCAATTTATTCACTGCTAAAACTAAATCAGTGGAAGCAATTCTATCCAAACCATCTCTGGCTGCTAAAAATATTCAAATGAAAATATGTTAATCGTCTAACTGGCATAATCTATATATATACAGTGAACACAAGAACATGCTTATGGAAGCAAATGTCATTGGCAAGTGTCACAATGAGTCACAATCACAGAGGCAACCAGATTTTTAAAGTTAGAAGCTACCACTAATTTTTATTTGAAATGGGAAAAGATTTTAAAAAATACATTTTTATTAAGAAATTGTCTTTAAAATAATATTAAATTTAGTGCTGGGAAAGATAGAAACTTATGGGCTAAAATGGTTACCGTATAGTTGGTGGTGCAAACATTTGATAACTCATTCAAAATCAAATTCATTCCATATAAAGCAAATAAATAAATAAATGATAGCGAAAAATCACAAGCTATGAGAAAAAGTGCAACTGTTGTCCAGACTCCAGAATAATAATTTGCAGAACCTGAACCCACTTTCAAAGCTAACTAATATAAATTGGAATGGAATAAAGGGTGAGCTAGTGCACAAGGTTCCCATTAATTGGGATCTCGAGAAGGTCAAATAAAGTTTAATATGGAATTCTTTTTAATTTTTCTTGACTTGCACAAATGAACAAACTATTCAAAGAAAACAGGCTCCTCACAGAGAAAGGTGTAATTACTCTTGTGAAGGAAATTTAGAAGGCTAGGACAACGTTTTGATCAAATTTCTTTCAAGTTCCTTGTCTTAGTGTTAACAATCCTTGCCTTCTAGTTTTTGTGAGTCAATGTTTGATCTCCTTGCAAGAGTTTAATACCACTTCCAACACTGGAATTTTATGAATTGAAAACTTGACAAAGACAAAAAGAAATTAGAGAGCTTATACCAAAAGGAGTAGATAAAATATTAAAAAACTCAAAGATAGCCAAACAAGACACCAAAGCTAGAAATTAAGACTCTCAAATAAATGGCTAGCACTCAAAAAAGAAGGTCCTAGAAAGGTTTTAGAGTAGATTAAGAAAACCAAAATAAATTTGAAAATGACACAAAGAATTGATTCTAGTTGCTAGATCCAACACTTAGTGAATTTTTGGTTTTGTGACACCCTCTACCCTAACATAATATACAATAATTGTAAGATAAAATTTAGAATGAATAAGAACTTTCCCAATTAGATAATTCTTAAATAACAAAGAGGTAAAGGATTCACATTCGCATGTATAATTATAATTCACTTGCAAAAATTATAGAAGAAATAAAGTTAAAGGATTTTCAAAACAAAAGAAAGAAACTAAATTCCTAAACTAATCCTAACTAAGCCACGATGTCACATATCCTTTCATAGCATGCCCCATAATGAGACTTAAACTTCATCACCAACATCCTCATGCTGATGATCACTTGCAACATAATAAAAATACACATAGAGCAAACAAGGGAGTGAGAAACATCTTACTCGGATTCAGGTGTAAAAATAACAATCAAGCAACACAGACACAAATCATAACAAGCACAACCATAGCTACACATTAATCAAGTGCAAATTCAAATTATACATACAATAGTAACACATACACAGTCATTCATCATGCAATGAAGTCATGGACTTGACTCATAAATGCATGCATGTGGCGCCAGTCACATATCATATATCATTGGTATGCTGCCTAAACAACACACCTAAGGTAGTCTAGGAATACATGTAGGGAGCTACTCATACACTTTCAACTAGAAAGATGTACTACTTGGGTCTGGTCGGGATAGCGAAGCTGCGCAAGTTATGTCTCGTGCTCACAAATGGGCAAAATCGAGACATCCATTTTGCACTATCCCCTAGGACTACCCCAAGCTATTACACAAGGAGGGTCTTCCCTAACGATATACTTCATATCATACCCCTCACATAGATGCATATGATGCATGTCACACACATTCACACTTCATGGACTCATCACTTTACTTGTCATGGAATTTCATGTCTTATATCATTTAAGCATGTTTCACATTCTCATAGTCATAGTATTCACAATAGCACATAATTCACATCATGTCTCATGTCACTTTTTCACATTTCACATTTCTCATAGTCATACTTATAAGATCATCATTTGGAGATTTTTGTCCTCATCATGCTCATAAAACACATCACTTATGTTAATATAGTAATAAGGCAATTCCCATGTTCAGTACGGCCGTACTGAACTTCTAGGAGGCCGTATTGAGCTCCAATCCTCCCACATCCTTATTTTAAGCTACTCTAAGACTTCTAAACCTATGAAGAATCATCCTAGGGTCTTCCAGGGTCTTCCAGGAGTCCTTTCGGCTGACTTTCCTTCGGTCTTCGAGAGTCTTCGAGTCTTATTTCCGACCCGGACAATTTTAGGGGTCTACAGTCCTTAGAGAAGTGTTTCGGGAGCGGGGACGATGAATTTCCTTTACTCGCTGAGGCGTACCAGGATGATGAGTCGGAGACCGACTTTGTATTTTTGGGGTCGAGAACCGAAGAAGACGAGTACTTTTATGCCTATATGTGTTGGTTCGAGGATCTCGGCATAAAGCTACCCTTCAATGACTTTCAAATGGGGGTGCTCCGAGCACTGAACGTGGCGCCAACCCAACTTCATCCGAATGCTTGGGCAGCCATGCAAGCGTTCCGAAACCTATGTTTGTGCCTGGGTCTTACACCCCGACCACTAGCCTTCCTTTTTTATTATATATGTCGTCCGAGAAAATTGGTGAAATGGGTGTTGCTGGCTCGGGTGCCGAAGCAGGGGTTCCTTCAGGGGTTCAAATCCTCTTACAAAGGGTTTAAGAGTGGCTTCTTCAAAGTCCGTTGGGGGTCAGAAATGAAGAACTATTTTTATGACTGAGAGGGATCTCCGCTGTTCCCTTTCTACTGGATGAAGCACCCGACGCATTTCGAGGCGCTGCCTGCTTCAAAGCTCTCTGCCGAGGATAGAGAGATTGTGGAGCTCCTGAACAAGTTTCCGAATGGGCTGCCTGTCCGAGGCCTCCTTGATATTTTTGAAACGTCACATCTGCTGTCAAACAGTTACAACATTCAGAAATAGACCATTATGAAAGAAAAAAAAAGGTAATGGATGGGAGAAAATCAGTAAAATTTATGAAGGATAGCCCCAAAATCAGTAAATTTTATGAAGGATAGCCCCACATGTTAGGTTTCCAGAGCAGTAAATCAATGCAATCCTAATTTGTGTAGCCCAGGTTAAGTGTAAAACAAGTGCTGCAAGAAAGGGGAACTATGCATAAATAGCACCAGTTTTGACAAAAATATGATATCTATAGGCGAAGAACTAAATCTGGGACTATGCATAAATGTTAGTGCCCTGATAATCTACCTCACCTTCCATAAGGATCCTAATCACCCGACATGAGGATATATTGCAAAATCCTTATCATTCTAACATGTTTAATGCTCATAAAGAAGCTACGTTATATTTTTCCATTCCTACTTAACTCTCTGTTTCCAGTGTTTATTTGGTATCTCTAAACCCTTGCATACTATAAATATGTGGAGCTTCTACATCACAAGGCAAGACCTCCTCTGCTCTCAAGTACAACCTCAGAAGATTCAAATTAATCACCATGGCATTGGCATTGTCCAACAACGTAGCTGCAAATACCACCACACTACAACACTTTGATCTCAGCTTCAGCTCAAATTTCAGTTGTCGTGGTGCTTTACCAAATTCCATGATTGCAACAAAGAGACTAGTACTAAAGAAACCTCTATGCCCCTGTACTAATGCCAGCCTTTGGATCCACTAGCATATAGTCATTGTTGGATGACATCATGTTTATTTAATTACATTGGAACCAACAGTTTCGTTATTAGTAACAAAATGCAGCAATAACCACCATTTCTATCCTAATGTTGCTCTGACTTGGTAGTTAATACCCACTAGCCATTACCAACCAGTCACAAGTCTTGACAAGAAGAAGAAATACTAGACACATAAGAACACATCAACAAACTCACTATGACTGGATCCAAAGGGCGTGAGCTTCCTCCAGAAATCAAAAATTACAATATCAATATTGTTAATAGGGAAAAAAGAAATATCATTAGATCAGCAAGAACACCTCCTAGTTCTCAGTTACACCCAGCTTGGAGACTACCACAAGTTAGCAAGAGTGGGAACAAAGAAAGAAAAATGGCTATTTGTCTAAGCTGAAGAATATATGGTATTGAATTAGCCTTAGTTAAGAAGAATTTGACTTATTCATAAGATCATAAGTGGCACAAAACTTTACAAACTACGATTCAGTGCGACAGTTCAAATACATATCATCATTTAATCATAATTACAAGCAAGAATCCAAAGGAAGCTAATCAATTCATATGCTAGAGAATTCAAAATCCCTAAAATAGTCTTGGTAGAAGAACACACAATCAAAATCCAGTTTCCCTAAAAAGGCAAAACCAAAGACACAAATCAACAAATCCTAGGACCAAACCTAAATCAACAAAGACTAGGAGGAAATGAAACAAAATAGCGTGATTGGAAATGAAGGCTGAGGCGTGAACCTGAAAAGGAAGCTAAACAATAGACGATGAAGACTCTGGTGGCACGCTGGAGTATTTTGGAGGAAGAAGGTTTATCAGAACTGGTCCCAGATGAATTCGTTAAGGCTAGGTATGTTGTTGGATTAATTAAACCACATAGGTTTATTATAAAAAAAATTAATGTTATATCAATATACCTATAAGATAATAGAGATTGTCTGATTTGGTATATACATTTTTTTATATGATTTTATCTTTAAAATTTAAATAATAAAAAATTATTTTAAAAATTATTTTTTTCTATAAATAAAATTTATATCAAATTTAACATCTTTAGATTTAAAATTTAAATATAACTTCAATTGATCTATTAAATATTAATAATTTTTAAATATTTTTATAAAATAAAATAAAATAAAATAAAATATAAAATATCTCGACCCATTATTATTATATAAAAAAGTTTAAACAAAGACTTGTTCGTCTAGTTTTTTTTTATAGCTCTTAAAAGACACTTGTGGTAGGCATATAAGAGTTTGGTAGAAATAAGAGGATATAATAAGAATAAGATAAATTTTAATGATGTAAGTTTCACATATATTATCATAATTAATCAGATAATATTATAGTTAAAATACTTTTTTATTTCACATATTTTATTTTTTTAAATGTTTGTAGTTTAAAATAAATATTTTTAGTTTTTGAACTTATTTGTTTCGTTTAAATATATTTTTAGTCCTTTAAATTTAGGATAAATTTATCTTTAGTCTTTCAAATATAAAATTATTGTTTTTAGTCATTGTAATTTTTAAAAAAATTGTTTTAGTCCCTTAAGTCATCAATACTACATATGAAAGCAATAAATCGAGACAATTATATAATATCAGTTGGATTTAATGTAATATTTTTAGTAATAAGCATACTAATAGGTAAATTTTATGCGATAATATTTGACAAATTTTTAACAAAATTTGAATATAAAAAATAAAATAATATTGTTTGAAATTATAAAGAGTAAAAACAAATTTATCTCAATTTTAAAATATTAAAGACATATTTAAGTCTTTTTTTAATTCCTATAATTTAAGGTATATCTTTTTAATTCCTATATTTGTAGTATCTAACATTTTTAGTTCTTGTTATTTTTTTTGTAACATTATTTTTTTCGTGTTGACGTGATAGAGATATTAATTCAACTTTACCATGCCAGCATACAAGAACATAAAACAAAAGAGTTACAAAAAGTAGTATTCAACATTACCATGCCAGCATAAAAGAACATAAAACAAAAAAGTTACAAAAAAATTAACGATAGGGATTAAAATGATTAAAAGTAAGTATAGGATTAAAAAATCTATATTAAACTAAAAGAATTAAAAATGATTGAAAAAGATAAATATAGAGACTTAAAAAAGACTATTTTAAATTATAGGGTCTAAAAGATAAAGTAAGTGAAACTATAGGGACTAAAAAAGTATTTTAACCTAATATTATATATATATATATATATATGTTATGATATTATATAAATTACATTTAAGTAATAAAATTTTTGTTTTATTAAAATTACATATAATTTTTTAAAATTTTAAATTAAAAGTGTAACCTTGTGTTTAATTTTATTAATTAATTATATGATTAATTATAATTGTTGTCGTTTTAGAGCCCTAAAAGTCAAGGATCTTAAAGAGTTAAGTTGTCTCTGTAATAGTTTTGGTTAGAGTTAGTTGGGTCACTTTAAGAAATGATATATGTGATTTTTCTTAAGAAGTGAACTTCAAAACTTTAGTTTTAAAGAAAAGTAGAAAGAAATTAGAGAGAGGGGCTTTGGAGCCAATGACGTTCGTTCATTCTTTTGCTTCTGGTGATCCTTTCTAATCCCTTCCCTTAGCTAGACAACGATAGTAGATCATCGAATTTGAAACTTGGAGGCCAAAATTTTTTAAGTTGTGAGCTATGTGGTGCCTTTTCTATTCTTCTTCCATATTTTCTTTTCTTCCTCTGCTTGTTTTCGAATGATTTGAGGTAAGGAAAGTTTGTGATCGATGAATTATTGTGTTGTATTACTTGTAAGTTGATTGAATGCATCGAATGTTAATTATTTTGATTCAATTCATAAGGACCGTTTTGACTTAGTCACACTAGGTGTGGAGTGATAAGTGTCAAGCATGAGTACTTGAAGAACTTTCTAATTTGGTGACACTAGGCCCCAAAATGAATGACATCAGGTGTGATCAAGACAAAGACTCTCTATCTAGATGATATCAAGCACTAGTATTGTGATGTCGGGCATGAGTCAAGCAGAGACTTTTTGCCTAAAATGAGGTCAGACGTGGGTTTGGCTATGCCAAATGTGATTGACTTAAAGACTCTCTATCTCATTCATGCAGGATGTAGGTGGATTGGCATTGAGTGTGGACGAGCCCAAGACTTTCTACCTCAATGATGCCCAATGCAAGAAAGATGGCGTTGGGCGTGGTATGTTGAAATAAAATGTGATGTTTTAAGTTGTTTAACTTAGGGATGAGCACCAACCCAAGACCCGACCCGAAATTGAAAAATCTGAAAGAAAAAAAAGGGTAAAATGGGTGGGTTTAAGCGGATTACCAGTTTAGACGAGTTAAAAATAATTCGTGAAATATTAAGTTTTGTGTTGTTAGCCATGCGAGGTGACCTTAATGACATTATTAGACTTTGTTCTCTTCATAAAAGTTATAGCCTTGTATGTTAGCTTTCAGTGGCATTGGAAACACCTAAAAAAAGATCTAGAATAGGGGTCAAGTTGTCAGGATGAATTATATCTGTTTCAGTTTTTGAAATTTTTACCTAAGTAGATGATTTCTTTTAGAATTTCATGTCTTCACAAGAGTTGTAGATTATCCTCTTATATTTTTTTTTGAGATAGGTTTGAGCTTATTTGGCTGAGCATAACTCTCTATGTGTTGTTTTCTCTAACATTTGTCGAAGGGAGATGTATGTTGTTTTGATGTTCTAAGGTGTTATCATATGGATTGAAAAATGGTTTAAAGTTATATGATACTATGTTGTAGAGTTAGTTGATATATGTATGATGATGTGATGTGGATTCATGGTGAATTGTGTGAGGGGTATGTGAACCATTGTTTTGTGTGGATTTATCGATATTGTGTATATGATGTGGAATTGAGTTGTGGATTGTGGTATGTTGTCTTGGCACAAATGTATGCATGGCACGACGCTGGGCATGTGATGTGACAACAATGGTGTGAGCATGAAATAGTGCGGGATGTGTGGCAAAGCATAAATGTATGCGTGGTACGACATTGGGTGTGTGATGCGACAACAGTGGTGTGAGCATGACATGGTGCTAGTTATGTGATATGACGGATATAGGCTTTTCTACCGAAACTCTATTTCAAAAAATGAATGTTTGTCACCATCAAAAAGGGGGAAGAATGCTAGGTTTAAAGCCAATATTATACCCATTGGTCTTAAGTTTTGTTGTTAACAAACATAAAAGTTATTTTTATCAATAGTATAAAGTTTTTGAAATGACTAAGATAAATCTTTCACTAAGACATAAATCGTTAGTAAGACGAATCATGATATAAGATGATAGATACATTAAGACGATTCTATTAAAGAATAAGATGAATCCTTAGTCATAAAAAAAGATGTGCATTAAATCTTTATTATTTACACTCTCTAAATAAGAAACTAATTACATCTGATCAATTCCTTAATAGATCAAATTTAAAAAATGCTCGCTCGATACCAACATTTTACAAAAAAGGAAATAAAGACATGCATTGAGGTAGAAAAAGACAAGTAAATCCCTACAAAAACGGAAAACAAAAATCAAAAGTTTTTCATCACTATAATGTATTGCAACACACATGGTTCTACCTACTTGGTGCTAAAAGGTGATAAATAGCTTTTTTGATCATAAAAGAAGTGACAAGTTGGTGAAAGCCTTTAATGGAAGCATTTATTACACCAACAGATACTTCTTTCCTCAAGAAGCAAATCATGAAGTCAGATGAAGCAAGTCATGAGAGAAAAGCTCAAAGATTTGCAACGATTATCTTCACTGAATCCATATAAAATGACGCTTGAAACTTAAGAAGAATGTGACAATAATAAAGTGTCTACAATAGAAATTGATCATTCTTTCTTTATGTAAAAATTCATTATACGTAAATTTGTTGTATCACATCTTAATAAGAAGAGGAAACAACCTTGTAAACTTTTGTATTTTTAAGCTATTGGTTTTGAGACTGAATAAGCTTCTCTATAAAAGAATACTTGTTGTTTGAGCTTGGAGAGACTTGAATGTAAAAGAATAGTCAATGTTGAAGCCTAGAGAGGCTTTGTGTAAAAAGAATACTTGGATAAATTTCTTTAAGAGGCAATTCAAAGTATACTCAAGCTTAAGTCAAAAGTGGCTTAGTAAAAAAATACTTGTATCTTTGACAAGATAGTGGAAGTTGATCTGATGGATCAAGAATTGGACAAAGTCTCAATGGTCAACCAATGTAAATCGCTGAGTTTATTCTTTATTTTGTCTGATTTCTTATATCTTTTACAAGTACTATACTTCATTGATAGCATTGTCGAATCACGATAAAAAAAAACTACTAGAGTTTCCCAAAAGTTTTGTAATGTAGGGAACAACCCAAGTCATTCTTCAAGAAGGCACAAGCCAATAGAATCTAAAATTATCAAGCAATTAGAAAGGAGATTTTTATGAACAACAAAGAGAAATTAGAATATTACAAACACAAACAGAAAATTCAATCAAAAATTACATCCATTTAAGATTTTAATGTTACGGTAAAATTTTCATGGTTCAAATTATAATTGGAATTCAATTAACCTAAATCAACACGAATGTGGTCTAAGTGTAGATCTAAATCTAAATCTATTGAATTTCATAAAAACATGAAACACAATTACAATCTCACAATTTCTGTGAAATTTAAGAACGGTGAACGATTGATTTAGGAAATTTAAGTTGTTTTACATTTAGATCTAAATCTTGATCTAGATCCAACATTAATCTTCAAATATGATCCAAATATATGAAAACAAAGTTCATGATCATGAAGAATGGAAAATAGATCTAAAATGAAGAAGACAAAGAGACTTCGTATGGTAAAAACAATTTAGGAACTCAAATTTTATCATAATTCATGA